AAGTTGAATTACTGGCCAGCCATGAACTTTTAGGGTCCTCTCATGTGTGTACATCACAAATATGTGGTTCAAAATTCGAGAAAAAGGGTCCAAGGGGTTCAACATTAGCCCGGAAGAAAGGGGTCAAAAGGGTTGCTGGCCTCCCACCCTTCAGTGACCTTCCCAGTGATAAAACAGAGGTACCTGCCAAAAATGAACGAAAACCGTTGCAAAACGAATATTCGGGGGCCAAAACGCGCAGTTCGGGGTCCCGAAAATGGGCTGTTAAGCACCGAAAGTGGCGTTCGGCCACGAAGTGGGTTTCTCTTACCCCAGTGTCCCTCAAAAGGGAGAAAATAGGAAGTATGCCAAAAACCGGAGCAATAGAAGATGGTTAAGCGGTCCCGAACCGAGGCACACGGCCTGACGGCTCCGAAAACTGGAAACCGGACTCCGAAATGGGAAAAATGGCCTACGGCCACCAAACGTAGCCTACGGCCACTGAGAGATGGTCTACGGGACCTCTCCCTTCCCTCAGGAAAAGAAACAAAGAAAACCGAGCCTGGTTCGCAAACCGAGGCAAAGTACAAAAGAGGGTTCGGAAGTCCGAAGGCAGGGCTCACGGCCGCAACTCTGAAACTTCTGAACGAGCACACTATGCAATATCACCAAGTGCTCAACTGGTGACGTCTGAGTCTCAAGGTCGGTCAAAAGTGGGGTGTCTACAGTTGCCCCTCTTTGACAGAACTCGGAAGTCATAAGTGACGGGAGTGAATGTCAAAGCCCAGAGACGACCCATTTTTGACAGGGCCGAAGACTTAGACAAACAAACAAGATAGACAGAGATGTGCCCGCAGGCATGCCCGCAGGCAGGGGCAAAATGCAAATGATATGCAAAGAGCCGGAGGTAACCCAATGATCATGCAAATGCAGCAAGCTGTAATGAAGCAAGTATTCGCAAATAGATGCAACAGTTTTAAGCAAGAATGCAAAGCAACAACTACATTTCATGCAGTTAAGAATGCGGAGGATTATTCAATCCCCGCCACGTCTCACACGAAGAAGATACGATACCTGTGCGATTCGTCTGGTCGTACCAGCCTCAAATGAACCGTACATACAATATCGTGCCTGCAAAAGAGAGAAATTGCAACAAGTACAATATGCTACCAACATATATTCAAAGTGATTTCGGAAGTTTGACACACGCAGTGCCGGTGAGTGGATGCATCGCAATGCAAGAGTGGAACATGCGTGACAATGCATGCTCAAACATAGAGGTATGCCAATATCAAGAAATGTGCATGTTAATGCAGGTATGCTCATGAGAATGCAAGTTATGTGCATGATAGTACAAAACGAGCATAAATCAGGGTGCTCGTCTGTCATGAAACAACGAGTACGGAAACGCGTGTTTCGGCGAAGGTAATTCAATTACGGCCTCCGACCCACTTCCTGGAAGGGCTACAACTTATTCAAAAAGGATACACTTTGATTTCGATGAATGATGATGAGACATATGTCAGATCTTGAAGCCGAAGTTCCGGCGGAGCAATTTCGCGACCGGAAGTGTACTTTTCTTGAACTTTTCAGGTCCCGGGAACTCCGATCTTCCTCAAAATTTGCAGAGAGCTAGGTGGGCATGTGGGGAACATGGCCGGCCGTTTATCTTCCCAAGGGGAGGTGGCCAACCGGTTTCCTATAAAGTAGATAGCTGGCCGGCCAGTTATCCAAAAAGCAGATAGCTGGCCGGCTAGAAAAAGGGGCCGGCCGGCCATTTTCCAGATCCGAGGGCATTTTGGTCTTTTTCACTCCCTTTTTGCATGCTTCTTCAACCAAGACTTGAGGCCTATAAAAGGCAGCCGAGGCCCCTTCCTTTCTTGCCTTCTACAACACTTTCCTCTCCAGATCTGAGTTTCACGCGCATTTTCCAACGCCCCGTGCAAATTGTTTTCGCAAAAACACTCAGTTTCAAGCACTTTGAAGCGATTAAATTTCCGGCTTCGGAGCTTCTTTTTGCATTTTCGCCACTTGAGGTAAGTTTGTCTCAATATTGGAATATTTTCTCGGAGTTGACTTTTGTTGACTTTTTTTTCCCGAGAGTTGACTTTTGTTGACTTTTTTTCCAATTTTGGCTCATTTTGTCCTTTTTTTGCTCCTTTTGCAGATTCTTGAAAATGGCGGCCAATTTCCCCACGGCGGAGGTTTTCCAGGTGCGGAGATGATTTTCGATCCATGACTCTACCTCGAGGACCCGACCTTTATTCCCGGGACGTACCGCCGCCAGCACATCGTTCCTCCACTGCGTGCCGTCTTCCGTCACTTTACTAGCTTGACAGCGGACACCCTTGCGGATCTGCCTGTCTCGAGAGCCCGGAGCATCAACCTCTCTCATGAGGCCACGAGAGGTATTTACTTCATTTTTCTGTTTTTTGCTTTTTTCGTAGATTTCGCACCTTTGCCATGCTTGAACATGCAGTTTAGCTTATGACATAGTACTTGCTTGAATCCTGAACATGTAGTTTAAACATCGAATTTCTGAACACTCGGCTCATTAATTAATTGCGAACACACAGCCACATTAGAAACAAGGCTCAAACACTGATTTGTCGAACACACAGCCCGATTGGAAAGTTGAACACGCAGCCCAAACTTTAAATTTTCTGAACACGCAGCCCAGATAGATAGTGAACACGCAGCCCACAATTTTAACTGAAATTTGAACACGCAGCCCAAACTTTAAATTTTCTGAAAGCACACATTAGATAGATAGTGAACACGCAGCCCACAATTTATTGAAAGTTGAACACGCAGCCCAAATTTCAAATTTTCTGAACACGCAGCCCAGATAGATAGTGAACACGCAGCCCACATTTAACTGAAAGTTGAACACGCAGCCCAAATTTCAAATTTTCTGAACACGCAGCCCAGATAGATAGTGAACACGCAGCCCACAATTTAACTGAAAGTTGAACACGCAGCCCAGATTAGAGTAGTGAACACGCAGCCCACAGTGATAGAAGGTTGAACACGCAGCCCAAACTTCAAATTTTCTGAACACGCAGCACAGATAGATAGTGAACACGCAGCCCACAATTTAACTGAAAGTTAAACACGCAGCCCAAACTTTAAATTTTCTGAACACGCAGCCCAGATAGATAGTGAACACGCAGCCCACAGTAGTAGAAGGTTGAACACGCAGCCCAAACTTCAAATTTTCTGAACACGCAGCCCAGATTAAATAGTGACACACAGCCCACAATTTAACTGAAAGTTGAACACGCAGCCCAAACTTTAAATTTTCTGAACACGCAGCCCAGATAGATAGTGAACACGCAGCCCACACTTTAAATTTTCTGAACACGCAGCCCAGATTGATAGTGAACACGCAGCCCATAATTTAACTGAAAGTCGCTTATACTGAACACACAGTTCGTACACTTCACTTTTGAACATACGGCTACTTCATTCTATTTGTATGTAGCTTATTTCACTTCATCGGCACACAGCCCATTTCATTTCATTGGCACATAGCCCAGTTCATTTCATTGGCACACAGCCCATTCATTTTATTATTGACACATGTATTCATTCTGAATGCAGGTCGGTTCTCGCAGTGTGCGGGGGTATGGCTCCACCGCCGCGCGGGACTGGTACGCTGAGCTCCCTGAGGCTGTCCGAGATTTGGTAGACTTGGCAGGGTTTGGGGCTTTCTGCGTTGGGTTGTCCCGTTGCTCTGCTAGGAGGACTCTGATGGCGGCACTGGTAGAGAGATGGTGGGACACCACCAATTCCTTTCATTTCTCTGCTACCGGGGACATGACCATGACGCCTCTAGACTTCGCTGTGTTGACCAGCCTGGACATGGGAGGTTGGGCCATCCCCTATGATGAGGATATGGGCGAGTGGGAGGCCGCATGGATGTATCTATTGGGGGCTCGCCCGCCTGTTGACAGGGTTTCTGGGAGAGTCCGATATACTTGGTTCTCTTCCCACTTCCGGCGGGCGGAGATGGTGCCCGAGACTCCTGAGGAGGCAGCACAGTATGCCCGCGGTTTTCTCATGTTCCTCTTCGGGACTACCCTGTTCGCCGATAGAGGGAACACAGTTGGGTTATATCTGCTGAGCGCTCTGGTCGACCTATCACAGGTCAGTAGATATGACTGGGGTGGCGCCGGCCTGGCTACCCTTTACTTTTATATGAGCGCGACCTCCCGCGGGCGGGGCGATTTACTTGGCGGCTACTGGAGAGCCTGGGAGGTACTTTCTTGTCCCCTTGATTTACATTTCTACTCTTCATTACTTGTACATTGCACCTACAGCGCACTTTTACAGTCTGTACTTTGCTCTCAGCATTTCGTACTTACATTCTGCACTGCTTTTCTCAACTATGGGTCTATGTATACTTCCCATCATTGGCCCCAGAGTTGGAGGTGGCAGCCCTTCCCATGACCCCATACTCGTTGGTATTCGAGGGCCCGCATCGGCCTAGACCCCGAGAGACCCTCTTTTACCTGCGACAGTACTTTGACACTGTGCGGCATTCGGAGGTACTTCAGAACTTTCAGTTCCTTTCATTTTCATCTTTGATTTGCTCTGTATATTCCCGATTTCTGATTGGTTTATGCATTTGTCATCCGCAGATCACATGGCAGCCTTGGGCGCCCCTGGGTGATGGTCTCCGATTCCAATATCCCGGAGGATCGAGCGTCTCCCAGTATAGGGTCCTGCTCGAAGGGCCGGTTGGCAGGGCCTGGTTTTTGGGGGAACGCTTTCTGCGTCAGGTGTGGGGGTATCTTTCTCAGGATCTTCCCGCGGTACCCCCGATCAGTATGCGGACCGCTGACAGGCTCTCTTACTCGGAGGTAGTCGGCGCCATGTTGGGTAGTGATGCTTTGCTATATGTTGAGGAGGGGGACTACGCCACTTACCGTCACATATATTTGATGCCTCCGTTGATGGGAGCTCGCACCCCGATGATGAGGCCTGCCGGTATGTCATCCTCGGGCCAGGCTCGAGCTCGGGCTGCAGACGCCCCTTCTACTAGCAGGGCTGGTACATCTAGAGGTGGGAGTAGACCGGTTCCCCCGACTCCGTCGACTTATCCTCATCCTGGATGGCCAGATATGCCTACTGAGTTGATGGCATGGCAGTATGGGGCTATTTCTCCAACCCCGATCCCGCTAGAGCCTCCGATGCCCAGTGATCGATACGCCATTGATCCTGACTCACCGCTGGTATGCTCCACTATTTTTCATTCATCATTCAGATGTTTAGACATTCTTTTGTTCACTGATGATTATGAGCTCATTTTTGCAGCCACCTCGAGGGTACATGGAGGAGGTGGTTGGACTGGTGGCCACACTCGAGGGCATGGTCCTGCGTAGGGAGTCACAGTTGTCTGTCGCGGGCATTCAGGTACCCTTCAGTTTTCTGGCATTTATCATACTTCTGATGACATGCTGATTTCTACTGCATCGATAGACTACTTGTGTAGAGCACGTCTGACACACACCCCACTTGTACACTGTATTTACTTGCACCCACTTCATGTAGCTTTTGCTTGTATCTGTATCTGATGTATATATTTGGACTGATGTATTTGAATTGAACTCTTTGTTTTCAGATGCCTTCATGGTCCGGTCAGCCGCAGGCCAGGCCACCTGGGCCTCCTTGGGGAGCTGAGCCATCTGGGCCATTTCACGGAGTTGGGTCATCCGGGCTTTTTCAGGGGGCTAGGCCATCCCGGCCTTTCCGAGGAGCTGGGCCATCTAGGCCCTTTCGAGGAGCTCGAGGAGGGCCCGTCTGCAGACGCAGGGCTCACGTTGTGGAGGTGGAGCCTGATGAGGAGGAGGAGGATGCTGAGGAGGAGGAGGAGGCTATCGACCGTCAGTCAGAGACATCTGCTGAGGAGGGGGGCTCCGGTGGTGAGGCTGAGGGGGATCCTGAGGATGACAGCTCCGACCCAGCTGATGATGATGGCGCAGAGGTTGTCCCGCAGAAGAGGATGAGGAGTGCTTCTCATTCCCGCTCTCGAGGACATTGATGCTGTTATTTCCTGTTTTATTTTTCTTTTTGCCAGTAGTTTGTAGCACTTTGCACATTGTTAGGCAGTTTTATTTTCTGTAAAACTTGTACCTTTGTTCGTTGTAAAGCATGATGAAATGAAATAGCTTTTGAAAAAGTGTTTGTATTTTAAACTTTAACATCGTATCGCATCATTTTATTTTGCACAAAAATGAAATTGAATGGGAACGTGCATTGTGTAATCACCAAGTCAGGTAGTGAACCGACGCAACAAACTAAGCAACTCAACTTACTAAGATATAACAGAATCTTTAGCAAGTTTACAACTCGATAAACAAAATGCAACAACGCAAATAAACAAGACTTTAACAAAGATTGCTTGAACAGAGCGCAATGACTCAAAAAAACGAAACACGTCCGCTCGACAAACAACTCGATAAGCAAAACAACAACTCGATAATCAAAACAACAACTCGATAAACAAAACGATAACAGAGTGTACTTCTGACGATCTGGGCATCGGAACGCATCCGAAACGGGAGGAGATGAAGGCCTTTGACCCTCCCGTTGCATGGAAATGCTTGGAACTTTCCCTCGAAGAGTAAAACAGGGCCAAGGGGATACACTGCAGCATTGCCGGCCACCTTGGGGAGCCGGCCGGCCAATTTTGTGGAGAGAGGGAGCCGGCCGGCCAGTTTTTAAAAAAGAGAATGACCGGCCAGCCAGAAAAGGTGGTCGGCCGGCCACTTATTCCTGCAGCCATCTGATTTTTGACACGTGTCCCCGTGAATAGTGTTTTTCCCTCTATAAAAGCCTCAACTTCGGGAACATTCATTTCATCTTAGTTTTGCACAAAAATGGAGGCATTCTTTGCAGAAAATCTCACATCGTGGATCTCTTCTCTAGATGGCTCGGAAAAGCTGAATTTCCGGGGTTTCGGCTTGAATACACTATTCACGCTGAGCCGTACTCCGCTACAGCTTCCTTTTCTCCATGCTGCGGCAAGGTTCTGGAATCCAGTGACGCATGTTTTTAGCTTTAGCGGCCAAGAGATGTGTCCCACTTTCGAAGATTTCCAAGTTTTGATGGAGTCTGAATGCTCTGAAGTGATCTTGCCCCAGCTCCGTTTTGGCCATGCTCAGGCTTTAGGGCGGATGTGTGGGCTCACGGCGCATGACGCTCGATCTCTAATTTGCAGTGGGGAACTGGACATCCTCGGCTTGATCCATCGTTTTTCCGACGCTGGTGACCGCAGCAACCATTATTGGCAGGGTTTCCGGCAACACGCCCTCTGCTTATGTTTGTTGTCTCACTTTCTGTTTTCCTCGGGCTTCGGCGGGGCTAGCATTCGCTTGATTGAAGTTGCCCAAGGCTTGAGAGAAGGGAAGAGCTGTATTGCCATGACCTTGGCTGAGACGCTGATGGGCTTAGATTCTGTCTATCGCCGGGAGGCGACTAGGTTTGCCGGGAGTCCACTGCTACTACAGGTAATGTTTCCCACCCAACCTTACATATATATTTGCTCACATCACTCGACCCTCAGGCTCGGTTTTTCTCACAAAACCCTTGTCTTACTTTTCTCTCATCGTTCATCTCTCTATTCTTTAATCTCTCATTTTCCATCCCTCCCCTAGGTATGGTTAATGGACAAGCTGCAGATCGTGGACTCTTGCCCGGCTTATTCGGCTCGAGGCTACTTCTTTCGGCAGCGCCTAGTCTATGCTCTTGACGAAAGGTGGTGGTTCGATTGGATGTGCAATTTGTCCGCAGACGGCATTGCTTGGCGTTGTCCTTGGCTCAACCTCCCGGCAATGAGCTATAGTATGTCCCGGCTGATTGGGATCCAATTGATTGGTCTAACCCACTGCGTATTCTATTTTCCGTTCCGGTTCTTGCGTCAGTTTGGTCATGATCAGACCTGCCCACCGGAGGGGATTGAGTACCCAGCCGTTTTCCCGGTTCGGGGTGCACAGCTTGCCCGATATGCCACAGCATGGAGGACTAGAGAGCTCCTGGCCCCTGCTTCTTCTTTCAGTTGCACTTTGTCCGATGAGTGCTTGGATTGGCTCAATGAGGAGGCTCAGGTTGGGCCTAGCTTGGCATCAGATGCTCCGTTCGGCTCTGGGAGGGGACGCAGAGATACTTGATTCAACTGTGCCCCAAATTTATCGCTTATTTAGCATTTTCAAGTTTTCTTCATGAATGTACTAAAGAAGCAACCTCGATTGTAATGCAAGAGCAGGAGAACTCTATTTTGAAATCAATGAAATTGAAAGTTGTGGTACTGAAAATTTTCCGCTTTTGGTCGAAAATGGTCTTAGTCGTAAAAAGATTAATTTGAACAAAGTCAACTTTTATTAAAACTTTTCAAAACTATTTTCGATGTGGATCAGAACTGGACACGCCGAAAATCTGTCACTGAGATGCACAACCCCAGATCCCCGCAACTGGAAAGTTGCCCCTAGTCTGAAGAACAATGCGGCACTGCACGGCAACGGAAAGTTGCCCCTTGTCTGAGTAACTTTGCACCGTCGCGGCAACGGAAAGTTGCCCCTAGTCTGAACAGCACCGTACCGGAGATCACGATAAATGCTGATGGATAAAGATGATTGAGATGATCAAAATGGACAAAGTTGATCGGGGAAGAGTTTATGGCTGAACCTCAATGTGGCTGGCCAGCCATTTCTGCAGAAAGTAAATAGCTGGCCAGCCAGAAAAAGTGGCTGGCCGGCCATTCAGTCCTGCAGCCATCAGATTTTTGACACGTGTCCCCGTGAATAGTGTTTTTCCTTCTATAAAAGCCTCAACTTCGGGAACATTCATTTCATCTTAGTTTTAGACAAAGATGGAGGCGTTTCTCGCAGAAAATGTCAAACCCTAAACCCATAAACCCTTAACCCTAAACCCTAATTGACAACCCTAGCAAACTCCTCTAAGCACCTCAAACCTTAAACCCTAACCCTAAGAGCTAAACCCGAAAACCGTACGACACCTTCAAACCATAAAATTCTGCCCATTAACCCTTAAGGCGCCCTAACACCTAAAACGGAGTGATAATGCCCTCGGAAACCGGACAACACCAACAATTATAGATCCGCTGCACCAGCGCACACCACAAAAAACTTAAGTAGCCCCGGCCTAAGAGCAAACTCATTGCACTAACCCCAAACCACACCAATCCACCAGGTGCAGAGACACCAGCCGAGGTGGCATCTAGCCACTGCGGTCGGTGCGGTAGGATGGTTCTACAAACGCCACCTGCCTCCAA